AGGCTGCCAACTGTCAGGAAAGAGATTTATATCCCTGGTTGTTCACGCCTGTATTGCACTTCCAGACAGTAAAACTCAGCTACGAAGTGTAAAAACAGCTGCCGTTATCATCAACTTGTTGTATTTTCACTTCGGTCTGACACAGTGCTCATTTTGCCTGTTTTCTATTTGCTGCAACCAATCACCAGCAAATTGTGTATTCATCTCAGCAGCATCACCTCCAGTGGACACAGAAGCTGCCTTTGCAGACCATGTTTTTCATGTGAAAGACAAAAAAAAATAAACGATGTTGATTACAGAGTTGTTATTCTACAAGTCAGATTGCAACAACCTACACAGCTGCGGCGATCTCATCCACACTTCCTCACCACTTTTGACACAATTTTTCTCCTCTTTCTTTTTCTAATTGGCTTGATTTTTCTTCCTCTCACCGCGGAGACAGCAATTATTGAGCCCAGCAACAGACCTATTTGAATCACTGACGGAACAAAACGGTGGATGAAAACAGCCTGTATGTAAAAGGGGTCAAAGGAGAATGGCAAGAATTGTGCAAGCCAGACACAATTAGGTACAAAACATCCAAATGTGAATGTTTGAAAAACATATTTTCTCCACAACGGATGACTTCCATATGATACCGTCACAGCTTCACAGCTCCACCGGCTCGAGCAAACTTCCCACCGTTCGTACACATTTTTTGGCATATGGAGCAGTTTTTAATGCATAATGCACATATAACATAAGCAAATTAGGTTAAAGTAGCGGTTTAATGTTTCGCTGTGGGGTTTTGTTGCAAATCCAGGCTGATGTTCTCCACACGGTGGGCTAACCACGTTACAGAGCCAAACCAGGAATAACGTTTCGGTGCTGAACTCTCTGAACCCCAAGCATTTAGTCTCCTGTCGTAGTTTTCTTAACTGTGGGTTCATTTTTTACTGTAATATAAAGTCCTGCACCTCTATAGAAACAGCACAACTATGAATAGAGAGAACTCAGAAATGTCTTCTGTGCAGTTTGACAGTTATAACGGCATCTATTGAAAATTCTTTGGGTGCTTATTTTAACCAATTCTAAAAATATATCCAACATTTTTCCAAAGTGCCTACAGGTGCTCCCAATAATGAAAAAGAAAATGTGGTTCTACACACTGTAGATGTTTTACTACTCAGATTTTTAATTGGTTTCCATATTTGTTGGCATAAACACTGCCTGCGGTTCAGCCGAAAAGTCCTCAAATTTTTGTCACATGACTGCTGATGATGCTAAAAAAAAAAAAAAGTAATCAACTGAATTGAACTTTGGTTTATTTTCGCATAATTTATGGCATCATAACTGTGTCCGTGGGAGTTCTCTCTACTTCTTCATGGTTGTGCTGTTCCCATAGAGGTGCAGGACTTTATGTTGCAGTGAAAAATGAGCCCACAGTGAGAAAAAATGGAGTAAAAAAAACACCCAGAAACTTCCTGGAGTTCAGGAGGTTAAATACTGAAAACGATTGTTGCCCTTCTCTCGGTGCGTCCTGGTTACGGTACATTTATGCGTATGAGACAAACCGTGCAGACCTCCACGATGGCTCCAGATGTGACGACCGAAACTTTCAACACCAAACTTCAGAGCTTCTGCTGAAACCGGCTTTGTTGAAAAGTTTGTGTTGCTGTCCCAAATTACAGAACCGACAGCAGCGGGCGTCTGTGGCAGCCCCGACTACAAAGCGAGTGGAGTCATGTGCCGCGGGGGCACCGGAGGCTGTGGACGCTGCCATGTTTAAACCGTTACAGCCTGAACCTGCTGAACTGAGCGTGCTGCTTCCAGCTGAGGAGGAATCTACACCAGCGCACACACACAAAAACACACCTCCACCTGATTGAAAAACCATCTCAGACTCTCCTCTTTCCTTCGCCCATCCTGCGTCTGACTGTATTTACAGTCTGGAGCCTCTTTTCTTTTCCTCAAGTATCAAATCTCCTTCCCTGTTCTCTTAAGTCTCGTTTTGTTCTTTCTGCCGTCGGATCATTTGATACTTTGCTCTCAAATATGATTTCCCCCTCTTCCTCCTGTTTGCCTCCGCTTCCTCAAAGCAGCTCTCCCTCACTTTTTAAACTCCAGAAAGGCCAGTCTGTAGAAAACAGGACCTCTGTTGTGAATTTTGGAAATTAAATGTCACATCTTTCAAAGGGCCCCTCTGACTTTTTCCCTGGAGCTACTTTCAGTACAAAAAGGTGTCATCCGAAAACCTCTCGGCCATCACTCGCCCCCCATTTCTTCTCCTCACCTTTACAAAGTCACTTTTCTTTCATATACCCCACATTATCAGCCGCCTTTATGGAAGCATTTCTCCATGCTGTTTTAAGTCAGTTTGGTAAATTGTACTTAAGCAGAATAAGGAATTATTTATAAAGTGATGCAGGGTTGCATTTGGTAGAGGGAAGAGAAGAATAAGCCCACTTCAAACTAAAAGCTCCCGATACAAACTGACAAAGTAAGACTTCCACAGACTGGATTCAGGACAAGTAAATGTCTCTTAAGGCCTTGGATTCTGCCAAATTGTGTTTTTCATCCTCTTCTCCTGCTTTCTAAAGGACTGAAGGACACCAAAGGGACAAAAGAGCCCAGAGATGTGGGGATGGATTTGATTTCACTTAAGTTTTTTTCTTCCTGATGGACGAGAAGCATCCGACACCAGTGTGTGATTTCAGTTAAAAAAAAAAAACGGGGAAAAAACACCTGCAGAGTCGGAGCCGGCAAAGACGAGGTGATCTCAAAGTTGTCTGTTTTTTTTTAATGCATTCCGTGCACGGATTTTCACGGCTTTTTTGTCGCGTCTTTAATTATGTGTATCAAGCATCGCTGGGTGAGATTTTATCTGGAGGTAAATAAGAGCTGACATGAATACTTTCCCTCGGTTTCTTCCTCGTGGACCTCCACCGAGGCTCCGTGCGTCTCCTCCTGGACTTCCTCTTCTGAGGCGTCTGATCAGACTGAATCATCGCAGCCGACTGGGGCTCTGAACAAATCTCTGGGAGTTACACCAGCTTGCTTTGTCAGTCTTCGCTACAAATTGTGGAGGCAGTTTTTTATTCTCCGACGTTATAAATAGAGTCGAGAGTTTATTGTGGACTGTGTTTTTGCACATTTTTAGTATCTTGTATGTAAAGGCAGATCTCTCTTACACCAGTGTTATCGATCTATGAATTTGGGGATTAGAATTTACGCTCTTTCTCCCAGCTTTAAGCCTCTGAACCCCAAAACCTGCCAGTGGGTTTAAAATATGTGCTATCTTTAACAAAAAAATTACACCATTTGTCATTGCAAGAAACTGTAAAAACAGAAAGAATAATATTTTCATGTCCAGGAGTTTATTCAACTATGTATCTATATTTCTCTTAAGCGTTGTGATACTTCATTATGATAAATTGCAAAATGTCTCATTTAGAAATTCACCCAAAAGAAAAGTGTTTGCTCAAAGCGGGTGTCAAAAACAAAAAAAAGTCTTTGTTCCCTGGCATAACTGTGAAGCCATGACCGCCTCAGCTGCGACCAACAGTCACACGATACCAATTTTGAGAGTTTTTGAGTGAACTCGAAGGAACTACAGGCTGTGTTTCACAGAGAAGGAAAAAAATCGCAGGAGTAAAATATCAATAGTAGAAAAAGCCACCATTTTTCCTCCAGTATTGGTAACACCTGTGGTCACCTGGAAAAATCTGACAGATGTTCATTATCGGTTTCAAAAATATATAATTCAACTTTCATTTTTGCCATTTTTTTTAATGATTTATGGCATTATAACAATTTCATGCTTCACAATAGACATTTCAGAGTTCTCTCCACTTCTAGTCATGAGTGTTCTGTTTCCATAGAGGTGCAGGACTTTATGTTGGAGTGAAAAATGAGCCCACAGTGAATAAAAATGTGAAAGGACCAAAAAAAAAAAACGCCCAGAAGCTACATCGGATTCAGAGGGTCAAGGCTCAACAAACTGAGACAGGACTTCAGTTCATCTCCGTTTGTGTTTCTTCACGCTGCTCAGCTGTGGCCTGAGTTTGACGCTCTGGCAGGATTCAAATAGACTCAAAGCTGCAACGAACTGTATCCAAGCAAAGTTTTATTTTATTATGAGAGTTCAAGACTACCTGATCTCTACAGTTCCCAAACAATCATCTGCAAAATTAACAAAAAAAAAAAAAGTGCAACGGGAACGTCTTCATGTCTCGTTTTGCCCAACTAACGCTCCAAAACCTAAAACTCGTTCAGCCTACTATTATATAATGAGGAAAAAGCAGCAAATCCTGACATTTGAAAAGCTAAAATTGTGACATTTGGGCATGACTTAAAAGATTATTGAAGTGATTTATGTCTTTTAGCAGAGCGTGACGCAGTAAAGATATGTGTATATCAGGGTCCCACTTTGGGTTTTTAAAACCAAAAATGGCAAAAAAAATGGTGACTTATTCATTATTATGGAGTAATACAAAGAGATCCCCATCTGTAAAAATCTCTAACGTGAAAAAAATGAAATGAGAATAATAAAGCTGTTCCGGAGACGAATGCAAATGAATGCATTTTTTAATAGATAATACCTCATTTGCATATTTGAACATTTAATTTTCAGCTTGTAAAACCCAAAAATCATTGTCTTAAGTAATCAGTAGGGAAAGTGTTCTGCTTCCGTCCATTTACATTCATATATTGTTGAATTTTCATCGTGAACCTCAATTTTACCGTCACGTAAACTCATGTAGAAGCAACAAATGTCGCATTTTTTATCTCCGAGACCAAAATTTTTCTCATCATCTATCAAACACTTTGGACACCGGAAGAAAACAAAGCTGCTCTTCACCAAAAACGTCACCAAAACAACACGACAGCAATGAGCCTGGTTCAACAGGGCGGGAAGCAGATGCACTCTGGGATATGAAGTTTGATGTCAAACAGTTGTGGTGGAGACTGAAACACAGATGAAAGACGCAGACTAAATAGAATAAAATGTCGGCACTTACTTTACTTCCTCTGAGGGGAGGGGCTTCACTGCACAGGGGGTGGAGTCTTCTTGAGGCTCCTCCTCCTCCTCCTAAAGGCTGTCCGTCCTCCTCGACCTCCCTCCTTCTCTGGACGAACCTCAGTCCAGCGGTGCTCTGGGTAACCTCCCGCGGGATCTGAAGGCAGAGGGGCAAATCGAACGTCTGACTGTTGTGTAGCTGGTTCGTAGGCGTGACTGTTGGCGTGTTGGAGCGGCAGACGCAAACAGAATATGCAGAGGTGTTGACGGTTGTGTGTGAGAGATAGCAGGTGTTATTGAGTGCCTATGATTGCCTGGTACAGTGTGTGTGTGTGTGTGTGTGTGTGTGAATGAAGGAGTGGTTTGAACCCAGTATGGGCCTTAAAAACTGCACCACAACTTGGCCCAAAAAAAGAGGCAGTAGTTACCGTGGCAACATGTGCCAAAACGGAGAAGGGAGGAAGCGACAAAGAGGCAGCGAGAGAGAGAATCAGAAGTGAGAGCAACGGAGAACGAAAGACCGAAAACACTCGTGGCAGCAGCAACACCTTCGCCACGAAGTTCAGTTTCCCAACTTGTTTGTCGGTTCGATTAACAGCCAATGAGAACGCAGCAGCTGCTTGATGTCACCAGAAAGCAGCCTGTGACGGATGAAACGATTGCTTTCTGCAAAACCAGAGTTCCCAGAAGTGTTCAGGTGGATTTTTAGCGAGCAGACAAGACTGTTAAAAGCCCTCCGAACCCCAAAAAACCCAGTGGGGGGGTTAAAAGGCAAGTTATCGTTAAAAGAAAATGCTAAACTTACTCTATTTATCAGCAGGAAACTGTAAAAACAGAGAGAATCATCAGCTTTCCAAAGCTCTTCAATCCGATATTCTGTTAAAACCAAATCTGTGCTTAAAATCACGCATCAAAATCACTTCGATCTACATTTTTCATTTAAAAATTAAAAAAATAATAAACTACCTGCTCAAGCCAAATACTGCAAAAACACAAGCGTGAAGCCAGTGGTGACATTTTAGAGACTTTTTGGCTGAATTACAGAGAGCAGACCAGCACAGAAACAGATTTTTAAAAATAATAATAATAATGTAAGTAGTAGTAATAGTAAAATATCTACATCTGAACTGATGAGATTCTGTAACAAACTAAAAATTCAGCGCTCTTCAGTGCAACTGGGAAGTCATGAGTAACTTAGTTTTAAGCAACAGTCACACGACAGGAATTCAGGGACTTTCTGGTCAAACTGGGCTGAACTGCAGGCTGAGCAGAGGAAAAACTCGTTAGCATCTAGAGGTCTTTCTCATCATTTTTAACACCTGTGTGCACTCGGAAAAACTTTGGACATGTAGGTTTGTATTTTTCTTAAATTGTAAACTTACAAAAATACCCACAAATTCAACTTTAGTTGTTGTTTTTTGTCTTTTTTATGATTTATCGGCATTATAACGTTAAAATGCTGCACTAGACGCTCTCTACTTCCAGCCATGAATGTGCTGTTTCTGTCGACGTTTAGGACTTTACATTGAAAAATGACCTCACAGTGAGCAAAAAGCCAAAACCGCCCAGCGTTAACCCAACAGGAAGTGAAAACGAGACTTGATTCACAAAATAAAACTAATCCAAGTGAGAAAAAAAAGAAACCAAAGGTCCAATACGGGCGAGTGAGCGACTCCTTTAGCGCTTTTACAATGAAGAACGACTCGTGCTTCTATCAGCGTTGAATATTAAAGCAGGTGTCGAGACTCCGGCACCTTTGACAAAATGGCAGCATTTGATTTCCTGGAACACAATGAGCAGCGAGAGGGTGTTTCTCCTTTGATCAAACAACCCCAAAAAAGAAAAAGAAAAAAAGGAGAAAATGAGTACGACATAAGCGGCTGCAAACATGGATGACGTTACCTCCTCTGTACCACGTGTCCGTGCGTCATGGAAAAATCGTGGCTCTCTGAAGGATCTTCCCAAAAAAAACGCAAAACCTGTCCTAACCGTCGCAGCATGGCAGGCCAATCAAATGAGATCCAACGCCGGTGGCGGAAGGTTTTAACTTCATGCAAAAAAATCCCTGGCATTCAGATTGGCACGCAACGCCGAAAATAACACAAATAATGCCATCACCAGGACCTGCTCGAGCACGGATACACAACCGTGGTGCCAATCAGTCCTGCCAGCTCGCTCATGATTGCAGTATTACACACTTTCACTTTCAAGACACCTTTTTCTCTTCTATTTTTTTTTTTAAATCCAAAGGAATCCAGAGGATGACAGACATGCGGGAGAGCGAACAAAAGACGAGAAAAATTGGATTTGGAGAAGGTTACTCTAAAGCCTGCAACATGAGCGTGTTTCTCTCATCGAAGCCGATCATCATCGTGTCACACCGACCGTTTGAAATCTGATTAATTGCTCATATAAGACTCCGTGTGCGTCTGTACACATGATCCCATAAACCGCTCTTACGTGTTTGTGCTGTTTACAGCTGTGCGAGTCTGTGTGAGTGTTTGTGTAACTGGGTGCATCTGAATCACCGGGTGTGTGTTTGAGACACCTTTGTATTTGGATTATTTCACTCCTGCCCTCAGGTTCCAAAGACTTGAGCTGAACGCCACTTATGTCAAGTGAAATAAAAATTAACAACAATAACAAAAGTTGAGTGTTGAGGGTTAATGTGCCGTTACAGTAAAAAAAAAATACACATAAAAACTTGGCAGCATCTGGTTCTTGCTTCATACTTTGGAGGACATTTCATCAGATTCCTGACTTTATTGGTTCTGTTTGGTTTTTTTTCATGTGCAGCGGAGAGAATCTCAGATCAATATCATGCTCAAAACACCCCACTGATGAGCTTTAATTCACCGCACATGTGGAGCCTGCAGCGCCACCTTCTGACCGCACAACGCTCGCTGGTTTGTTTGCTCCAAAGCTGTTAAACTCTCTGAACCCGAAAACCCGCCGGCGGGTTTTGAAAGACAAAAATCGCACAATTGATCAAAGCCAGAAGCTGTAAAAACAGAAAGAATTGTCAGATTTTCACATTTCCAACAGTCCTTGAAGTACTCGTCTGTTCCGTCGGAAGACTTAACCAAATCTCAGTTTAAAATCCTAAAATTTAATCAATATTATTTTCAGTCTACGTGTCTGTTTTTTTTTTTTTTAAATCACCTAAAAATCTCAACACAACCAAGAAGCATTCAGTCAGCGGTTAAAGGTGCGAACGGAAGTACGAGTTGCATAAAGGTAATCATCAACATTTTATGAATTCAGTTCTTTCAACCTTCATTAAAACTCGGAGTACGTTGAGGTAACGAAGGCCTCATTAACAATGTAGTCGAGTCGTCGGCACACAAATAAACTCGGATCCCAATAAAATATTAATCGGTCAAACAAAAACACAAATGAGTGCTTTTGAAATTTTAAAAACGACTAAAACAGGAGACAGGCGGCACCTGCAGCGCGATCCCGTCGATTGAGCGTCTATTAAAAGACAGTTGTGATGTAACGAAAGAGGGTTAAAAATAAACCAAATAATTGAAACTCAGTCACGCCCTACAGAGAATCAATCAAGCTACATAACGTACAATTTGATGTTGTATTGTACAACGCAGGCTAACTGTTGTGGAGCTTAAAGTTTCTATTTATAACGTGGATGTAAGTCCTTAAAATCTACCGCATAAAAATCCATAAAGTGCTTTTAAAGGTAAAAAAATCACGTGTTAATAATTCAGAAGTTGCCTGAGCTACAATTTAGATGCAGGACAAGATAAGATTAGGATAAAGATAAGATTAGATCAGATTTACTTAATCCAGAAGGAAATTCTTATGCTAGAAATAAAGCCAAAAAAGGACAAAATATAAAAAATCCTGTGCCTAAATTTAATAAAGCAATAACATAAAAGTATGTTACATGACTGAAATAAGATAAAATAAGGCTAGAACATAACATAAATAATAATGCTGAGGTAAAAACTAGCATCATACATGATAATGAAGCGAAATATTGTGCCTGAAAAATTAGATAAAACCGAAATATTGCGCATTACATCGACATCGTTGTACATAAAAGTATGAATGCTGCAAATGAAAACGACATGTCACACTTGAGAAATGAAAATATAAAATGCTGCACATGATACCGACGCTGTGACAAAAACCAAACCCGAAGCAGAGGTTCATCGAGCAATTAAAAAAAAACATCACAGCAGCTGATCATTATTTATTCACGGCCCCCCCAAAAATCCTGCCGGTCAGCGATTAGCATCTAAACATTACGGAGCTCCTTTAAGAGGGAATCACCAGCAGTGTTTTCCCCGGGATGTGATGAGTGCACGCGGTGTGTGTGTGTGTGTGTGTGGGTTACTGTGTGAGTGAGTGGATGAGATCATCAGAGGACTGCAGCTCAGCAGGGAGAGACAGCAGAGAGAGAACAACAGGTCTTTTCCACAGAGTCTGGATCCCCCTCAGGACTGACCTCATCCTCCATCCATCACCAGCCCGATACCAGCCGGCTCCACTCTGGGACTCGTGTTGTGTGTGTGTGTGTGTGTGTGTGTGTGTTGCCGAGGCTCAGAGGTGATCAACGCCGCGCTATTAGAGATGCTGGGAAGTTGCACTTTAAAACACGTTACCCATCACAGAGCATCGAACATCCTCCCCATCCCCACTCTCACCCAACCGGTGGAGGCAGACGAACACCTTTCCTGAGCCTGGTTCTGTCCAAGGCTTTTTTTTCTCCACCTCCCACTGGGTTTTTTTTTTGATTCCTTCCCACCGTTGCCGACCGCTTGCTCAGAGGGAGTCCTAAGGCAACTTTGGATTGTTGGGTTGTGTTTGTGAGATGATGCATGTTGTGAACTGGGTTATAAGAATAAAACTGAATTGAATTTAGCGAGCTAAATGAAAAGAAAGGTTAAAAAAAAGGTATTTTATTAAACATGGTCAGAGCTCCTATTATCTGATATGTACTCTGAATTTTGCTTTAAAATGCTTTTTTTGTTTGTTTGTCAAGTTGAGGGTTAAAGGGACATTTCACCCAATTTACTATACAACTGTTCTGGTCCACTATCAAACTACAAGCTACAATCTTTGGAGATCGAAAAGCAGATGAAGTGAAAACCAAAGGATCGGCCCATTTTGAATTTAAAAGTGTGCTAGTTTGGC